GGTGGGGAACGAAATTTTTTTTAAACAACTTATATGCATGTTTTATGTATTATTATGATGTAAAGATATGAGGGTTGTAACTTTGGATAAAGGATTTTGTTCAGGAATATTAAAGGTTAGCTGTGGAATAATGACAAATAATTTATTAATTAATTTTAATATTGGTTGCCTTGCTGATTTTTTAATTTATAGGAACAAAGAAAAATCCATAACCCATTTAATAGTATTCATGCAGCAGCTCTATGTACATTTGCAGAAACAGTTGGAGGATTAGCAGTAATTAGTACATTTGATGAAAATATGAAAGGAATTGTTACAAAAATTAGTATTGATGTGAGTTGAGTGAGTTCTTGTTGTTATTAGTATTAATTAATTGTAAAAAAAAAAGAATAATTAATTAATATATTAATATATTTTAGTATCAAAAGAAAGCAAGAGGTAGTTTGTTATTATTATTATGATGATGTCATAAAACCTTTTACATAATGTTAAATAATTTATTTTTGAAAAATGTAGGATTAATTACAGCAACTTGTAATTTTAAAATGGGAGAAGGAGAATCTAAAATAGGTGAGAAGGAAGTAGAGGTTATCCTCAAAGATGAGAAATTAGACACTGTTGCTAAAGCAAATATTATGTGGCAAATAAATGAAAAATAAAATCAAAAGAAATTTATTTATTAAATTGAGTTTGTGCAAAAATAGTAATAATAATGAAAATATAATAACAATAACAATCATAATCATAATATTTAAACAAACAAAGAAAAAAATAGAAAAATGTTTGTATAGATATACAGAGAAATGAGATGTAAATGTAAAGTTGAGTTTTTTTATTTTCAAATTTAGAGTATTATTATTGTTATCAAGAATATTATAATAGTAATTATAATTAGTAAATATATAAAATACTCATGTAATTATAAAGAAACTCATTAGAATATAAAATGCATTCCATCATCATCATCATCAACATCATTAATATAGTTTACTACTTCATACCTCATCATTATTATAATCATCATCATTGATATCATCATCATATTTTTCAATATTATCATGCAAATCTTGGAAAATTTTCATGTTTTTTCTTTACATCTTCAAGAAAATCTCTAGTTGATTCATTATTAATAGAAGGTGCAAATTCAGGTTCTGGGAATGACAAAGGCAGATGAGAAGCTTTTGTTGATGACAATCTTGAGCAAATCAACAATAGTGGAATTATCATTATTGTCATAATTGTGTTTATAGCCATAATTTAATGAATTAAGAATTTCTTGAATGCTTCCACCCAAAATATTCCATGACTTATCACTTGTGTATGAATATAAATAACTTCTATCTTCATTATTCAATAAAACGAAACTCCAAGATACTTACTTGATGGTAAATTATTATATTGTGAATAAGGCTTTGAATGAATTAAATTTGAATCACCTAATATTTGATTTGCTTCGTTTGAATTGATTCGAACCTATAAATGATTTGATTTGACTTGGTTTGAATCCAATTCAAATATATGCCATATGAAATAATTTGAATTCTGCATAATTTTAAAAAAGTTGCCTTTGGAAATAAATGAGTTTGAAAGTATTTACCTAGTGCAATTATTGCATTTGGCTTTTCCATCTGCAACTGTGAAATGGTTCTACACTTCACTTTGAACACATTGCACTACACCAGTTGAAGAGGCAATTATTGTCATTCATCATTGTTATATTACTTTTCTTGTACAGTTTCTATTTGTGATACAAACTCTTATTCGAATTATTCATTTTATTTGAATAGAAACTTTACTAATATGACATTAAAAAGAAATTTAGGAATCCAATCTGATTCAAATCAAATCAAATTGAGTCGCAAATCAAATCAAGTTGAATCAAATCCAGTTTTTTGGAACTCAATTTGTTCAGAACCTTAACTCTGAAGGAGTAAAGAATAAGGATGAGAAATTTGCAAGTGTGAAAAAAAATAAGTTGGAAAAATAAAAAATGAGTCAACCAACTTATTTATCTTGAGACATAATAGTAATATTGTTTGTTTATTGTTTTTGTTATTATTATTATACATCATTTTTTTGCAAATTTATAATTAAAGGAAGACAGAGCATAAATAAATAAAATTAATAACTTCAACTTGAATCGAATATGGTCTAAAATTCAATGTTTAATATAATTCTTTTAAATGTCATTTGACTCAAATCCTAATGTTTTACAGAATCCTTGTCGAGTTTTGGAAATATTTGATGTAAATTAGAAACAGAATCAGTGGGATTATTTTCAACTTCACTTGAAATTTCATCACACTGGCAACAGTATCTTGGTGGCAAGTGTACCATTTGGAGTTTTACATATCATGATTAAATTTGACTGATTATGTTTTCTGTGCAGGACAATCCTTTCATACTAGTTACAAAAAAATAATCTTTCTTATGCAATGAACCTAAAAGCATCAGATAATTTTGTTCAAGATTAAAAAAAGAAATCAAACTTGCTGTTGAACTTCATCCTTCTATAATGCTCGCCTGTCAGGTGTTGTAATTAGTGCTGTTAAATGTTGAGGAGCTTGTGGTGAAATTTTAGGTGAAGATTCTGACTGTAAGTAAGCAGTACTATCTCTTTTCCTGCAAATTTTATATAATGACTTTCTTTGATACGAGTTGCACTATCCATTGCCATATTTTTGACTTTTTTTACCTAATTGTTAAAATACTATTTAGTAATTTGTCTTGCAAAATCTTCAGAATAGAACTAACATGTATATTTTCAATTGTTCAAATTTCTTCCTGGTGTAGTTGACCAACCCTTAAAAAAAGTAAAAATACTAAATTAATATTTATAAAATTATTATCATATCTATTATTCATATAACCAAGTCAAATAAAGAGCTATCCTTCATACTAAGAGACCCAGCTTGCACTAAGTGTCAAACTAAGAGTTCATAACTGGACTAAGTTCTTAGAGATTGTTCAAATTTCTACCCTACTAGAAATATACTTCTGCCTTTTTATTTTAAAAATACATTTTACTTTTACTTTCCATTGATTAATGATTCTTGGGCTTTGTTTTGCATGTACCATCAAAATTAGAAGAAACCGCCACCTTCTGATGATCTTTTTTAATGCTATTCAAAGTTTTCGACTATTTTTCAATTAACTTGTTACATGTCCAATCTTCAGCTGTGTTTGTGCTGTAAAATCCATCAAGGCTGATCAAAGTCATCCATACATTTGCAACAATTACTTTAACACAATAATCAATATGTGATAATGACTTTTGTTAATAACTGTTAGCTCTTTGTATAGGTGGTCAATCAGCAATAACTGTTGACACTCAATGCTTTTGCCAACAAGTCTTAACAATTACAAAAAATTAAACAAGAACGTTTACATTTTCTTTCTTTACTAAAACAAAACAAAACCTTGTTTGATTTCCGACCATAAAATTGTTTTATTAAATTATGAGAATGTTTATTCGTAAAGAAAATAATTTTATATATATCAACTTTTTGCCTCTACTCTCAATCAAGGCTCTGAATTATTAATATGATTATTAATTAATTAACTTTGCTTGGTCAAAAAGTGATATAACAAAACCAGACAAAATGAATAATTTGTACTACAAAATATTACAGGGTCAATTGAATTGGGGATATGTTGTAAATCATATTAATATTAATATTAACGAATCATCATCACCGATAAATTCATCTTTTAAAGAAAACAATTCTGATACAAGTAAAAAAAGATCCAGATCTACAAAAGGACCAGCCAGCTAAAAAAACAAAGTTTCAACCTTCTGATCAAAATTTTTCAGATAATGAATCACACATTGAATTAGATAATGATTTGGATATTTCAACTACATCATCGCACAGTGTAGAAACCGTCTTGGAAATCAAAAATTTGTATGGTCAACAAACCCAACAAACTATCACACCAAAACTTTTTGATTCAGATAACATTCAACCTATATTGGCTGATACTTTTCAAGAAGAATCAACCAGAACTGTAGCTTTTGTGCCTAGTTTTATGTCAGAGGGAGAGCCACTTGAAGTCGAAGATGTTATAATAAGTCATCAGGTATTTTAAATTCTGAAAATTTTTGTTCTTGATCATAATCATCATTATTGTCATATTGATGATTATCAATTAGGTTCGGCATCAAGTTGCGATTCCTCCTGGTTATAATTATATTCCACTTTCTAAACACGTTTCACCCGCAGAGCCTGCAAGAATATATCCGTTTGAATTGGATCCATTTCAAAAAGGTGCAATATACTGTATAGAATGATTTGAATCAATTCTAGTTAGTGCACACACTTCTGCTGGAAAGACAGTTGTTGCAGAATATGCTATCGCGCAAGCTTTGAAAAATAAACAAAGAGTCATTTACACCACTCCAATAAAGGTATGAACGATTTCAGTAAAATAAACATCTTTTTTAATTATTTTATTCTAGTAATTAAACCGTTAATTATTACTATTATATTTAAGGCTTTAAGCAATCAAAAATACAGAGAATTAGAAAATTCTTTTGGTGACGTTGGATTGATAACTGGTGATGTTACTATTAAACCTGATGCAAGTTGTTTAGTGATGACTACAGAGGTAGTTTTAGAATCCTTTACATAAAGAATTATATATACATATATAAATTAATAAATCATTATTCAAAAAAATAGATTTTATTGACTATGCTCTATCATGGAAATGAAATGATGCACGAAGTGTCATGGGCAATTTTTGATGAGATACATTATATGAAAGATAAAGGTATTCGAAAATTTACAAAATGAATTAATTAATTGGTGTAAGAAAAAAATTTATTTTTAGTTAACATTTTTATTTGATTTTAATCCAGTCTGTGGTGTAGTTTGGGAAGAAACTATTATTCTTTTATTGCACCAAATTCATCCTGTGTTTTTATCTGCAACAGTTCCAAATGCTATGGAATTTGCAGAGTGGATATGTAAAATACATACAGAAGTAAGATTTTATATAAAAAATTTTTTTTTTAGTATTTAATTATTTTATTGATTGATTAATTAACTTTATGGTTTAATCTAAAAATATGCATTTGTTTCTTAATAGCCATGCCATATTGTATATACTGATTTCCATCCAATGCCTTTACAGCATTATATTTATCCTTGTGTAAGTGATGGTATTTTCATGATTGCAGATGAAAAAGGAAATTTTCACCAAGAAAATTTTAAAAAAGTAATAGTGATGTTGGATGTAGGTGCTAATACTAATGCTGAATATATTGATTATAAAGGAAAGAAAAAATCATCACTACCACAAACAATAAAAGGTATTAAAACAATAACAATTATTAATATCTTTTTGATTACTAGTGCCTACAAGAATTATAAAACTTATTGTTTAAACTTAGGCCTGTCCGATGTTTACAAAATAGTAAATATGATTATGCTAAAAAAATATGATCCAGTGATATTTTTTACTTTTAGTAGAAAAGAATGCGAGAATTTGGCACTGCATATAAATCATTTGGATTTAAATACTGGTAAAATAAATTTATTTAACTTTAGTTGTACCTTTTAATTTTATCATCTTTAACAACATCATTATTATTTTAGACGAAGAAAAGGATTTAATACAACAAGTATTTGACAATGCACTTAACTTAATTCCTGAAGATGATCAAAATATACCACAATTCAAAATAAGATCACAGAAATTGCGTAAACTTATGGGATCTGGAAAAGTTTGGGAGAATTGCGGATTCTTTTATTTTCCTTGCTTAACAGGCTTTCAAATGAAGCATATCAAATTTTTGGAAGAAATCAATGCCTTCAAAGCCACCATAAAAATCTCTGCTGTGGAACTTTTACGCGTATGACCGTGAGTTAGAAAGGAATTGGGAGAAACATGAAAAGTTTGGAACTCGTTGGCGAGGCTCTACAACTTGAATACAATATTCGCCAACATCCTGATATTTGGCTTGGTAATTCTAAAAGAAATAATAATATTTGAGCACTGAACATGTAATGTGGTAAATACTACAAAGAAAAACCACTGGCAAAAAAGCAGACCATAATGAACAAGCAAATCATAAAGCAGATTACAAACAGAAGCCTGCCATAGTTATGTGAGTTGACCCTTTCTCAGGTCTCACATACTACCTTTCGATATGCCACAACGAAGCAGGTCGTAAAACAGGCTACAAGCAGGAGCCATCGTAGTTATGTGAAGTTGACCCTTCCTCAGGACTCTGGATACCTTCTATACTGCCTGTAGGTCATACATTACAAAAATACTTTCCTCTACTTTAATCGTTTGAAATTCTTTCCGAGTTAGTATTTTTCTGTAGGGATTAGAACTTTTTTTTAGTTTATCTGCATCCTTTTGAAATGAAAAAGGGAAGTCATCCTTTTCTAAACGATGTTGGTAAACAATACTGGTCGGGCAATGTTTCGTTAAATAGGAATCCCACTTGCTGGATATATCCATTGTTCAAAGCAAATCTTAAGAAATATAGTGAACAAAAAATTAAGTTTATTTAAAGATGATCGATCACAACAATACAGTCAAACCTTGCTATAGCGAACTATAATTAAATTCTTGTCATGATGGGGTTTTAAAATCTTTGCTTGACGTATAAAAACATAAAAATCCGTTGTGGCAAAGTAAATAAAATTTTCTTATATTCCTTATTATTATTATGTATCCCGTTCATCTGCTGTGACTATATGCGTAAAATTATTTTACCCATATTTAGTAAAATTGATTCACTAATTTTTGTGATTATTATTTTGTAAAATGAGTGAAATTTTCAACTCATTGAATGAATTACTTACCAAGCTAAATGAATTAAATGAACTTATTAATTCAAACAAATTACTCAACACATTAAAAATAATAGAAAATTGTATAAATTGTAAAGTAAATATACAAAAAAATTATTTTGATTCATTTTATGAATCATTAAACAAATTAAAAAATATTTTAGAAGAATTAGACAAGGAAAAAAATGAAGATAGGGAAGCAGAAATAATCCATAAATTAAGTGATGAACTAAATAAATTGGATGTTAAAATAAATATAGTATTATGTTATGGGTGTCAAAAGAAGAATACATTTGATCCATTATATGAATTACTCACCAAACTAAATGAATCAAGTGAATCAATTATTTCAAACAAATTACTTGACACATTAAAAATAATAGAAGATTGTACCAGTTGTTCACAAAGATATAATTATTATTATTTATTTTATGAATCATTAAATGAACTAAAAAAGGTTTCAGAAGAATTAATAAAGGAAGAAAATGAAGATAGGAAAGCAGAAATAATCCATAAATTAAGTGATGAATTAAATAAATTAGATGCTAAAACAACTATAGTATTATGTGATGGGTGTCAAAAGGAGAATATATTTGACCCATTATGTGAATTGCTCACCAAATTAAATGAATCAAATGCATCAATTAATTCAAACAAATTACTTGACACATTAAAAATAATAGAAGATTGTACTGGTTGTAAAAAATGTGCACAAAAAAATTATTTTGATTTATTTTATGAATCATTAAACAAACTAAAAAAGGACTTGGAAGAATTAGACAAGGAAGAAAATGAAGATAGGGAAGCAGAAATGATCCATAAATTAAGTGGTGAATTAAATGAATTAGATGTTGAAATAAATAGAATAGCATTATGTCATGGGTGTCAAGAGAAAAATATATTCAACCCATTATGTAAATTACTCACAAAACTAAATGAATCAAATGAACCAATTAATTCAAACAAATTACTTGACACATTAAAAATATTAGAAAATTGTACTGGTTGTAAAAAATATATACAAAAAAATAATTCTGATTTATTTTATAAATCATTAAACAAATTAAAAAAGATTTCAGAAGAATTAGACAAGGAAGAAAATGAAGATAGGAAAGCAGAAATAATCCATAAATTAAGTGATGAATTAAATAATATACATTACAAAATAGATGAAAGAGTATTATGTGATAGTTGTCAAGCAAAAAAAATTGGAAATAAAAAAATAGTTATATTTCTTGATGAATGTAAACAAAATGCAGGCAATAGTAATTATATGAAATGGATTCCATTCAATAAATTTAAAAGCATTGAATACTTAGCTAAAGGTGGATTTGGGGAAGTACACAAAGCAATGTGGATTACTGAAAATAGGATGGTTGTATTAAAAAAGTTATATAATTCCCATGATCAAATTTTAGATGTTTTAAAAGAGGTAAATATTGATCTATTATAAATGTTATTATTATTAATGTAAATGCTAATAATGAATATAATCATAATAATTTTAGTTAAAAACAAGTAATAAATTTGGACGTTTTGTTAACAAATGTTATGGAGTTTCTAAAGATCCAAATGAGAATAATTATTCATTGGTATTTGACTATGCCCCAAATGGAGATTTACATAAAAATTTATTAAAAAATTTCAAAGAAATTACTTGGGAACATAAAATTTATTCAATATATAAGATTTCAGAAGGGTAGGTTTTTTAAATTTATTAATTTTTATATAAATATGTAGTAAAATAATAATAATATATTGTTTTTTTTTATGAACTAGATTAAAGAAAATTCATGAAAGTAATTACATCCATCATGACTTGCACAGTGGTAATATTTTTTCATACTCTCTTAATTATAGCCGAATAGGAGATTTAGGATTATGTCAACAAGTAGTTAAAAAAGATAACCCAAATAAAATCTTTGGTGTAATTCCATATCTGGCACCTGAAGTATTATCAAAAAAACCATATACAAAAGAATCAGACATTTATAGCCTTGGAATGATAATATGGGAGCATACTTCAGGGAAAAAACCTTTTCATGATAGAGAACATAACTCTCATCTCATATTAGATATTTTAAATGGGGTGAGACCTCAAATCACTGATGATACTCCTAAATTCTGTGCTGAATTGATCAAAAGATGCTGGGTTCATAATCCAGAAAATAGACCAACAGCTGAAGAAATTCATAATTGTTTTGGAAAATATTATTACTCATCTAAAAGAGAAAAAAAAATTATTAAATTAGCAGAAGCTAATCGACAAAAAATAATCAATTCAGAAAAATACTTGTTAGATACAAAAAATTATAAACACCACCCAGAATCATTTTATACAAGTCGTCCACTAGATGAATCAATTCAGGAACTGTTAAATTGTTCATCAACTAGATCATATCAGGATAGTAATCTTCCTAACTTATTAATCTCAAAATATATTGGTTGATGGATGGTAATGATTGTTTATTATTGTTTGTTGTTGTTGTTGTTTTTGTTATTATTATTTATTATTATTATTATATATAAAATCATTATGTAGCTTTCTCTTAGTTGAATAAACAAAATATTATCTTTTATTATTTAATTTTTCCATTACATGTTGAAATTAAGTACCAAGAAAACAAATGGAAACATCCCAATTTCCTTTTACTTTATATTATTATTTATTTAGATTATATATTTTATTTATATTATGTTATATTTATTTGTAAAATATCAACAAAAGATAACCTTGATTGTATAAAAAAGCAAGCCATTTTGGCCTTTTATAATTTCCATTTGTACTAGAAAAATGTTATTATTGTATTAAAAATCATGGGATTTCATTAACAGAAAGTAATAATCCATACAAGAACCATCATCAAACAAACTAATTGGGCGCACTTGTTTTTAAACTCAGATAATAGAAATTACAACTAAAAAGAAATCATTTGATGATATACAATAATCCCATCCCATAATTTCAATATATAATCCTATTTTCTACAATGCCATTTAGTACATAAAAAACACCAATTCCTATAATAATAAAGACATTATTTTACTCTCAAAAAGAGATTTTGAAGTACATCTTTCTTTTCTTTGCCTATTCTGTTATCTTCTCAACTGGTGTTATCTAATGAATTAGAGTAATCAATTGGCATTCTTTTGTTCTGATCATCATTAAAGTATCAGCAACTAAATTCCTTTGGTTTTTTTTTTTTTAAGGTGGTTTTTCATGAACTTATCTAGATCCAATTAACCCATACTTACTGAATTTATGACCACAGAACTTTTCCATCAAGTTTATTATGACCTTCAAAATCAATAATTTTCATATCACCTAAAAGCTGGTGAGATAAATTTACCAGGGTTAAATTTTTTAACACACACAAGCATGCAAATAAGTGCGATTGAAAATACACATATATAAAACATAAATACTCATTCATGTAAAGAATTATGTTGTAGGTTATTATTTTTAAGCAAGAACCAAACATGTTTTATATTTAAAATAAACTTATGTTGTTCTCTGTGAGTTAGATAAAAAAATCAATGGGTATTTTAAGTTAAATAAAGAAGAAAATGTTGTTCTTTAGTTGTTCTTCATGAGTTAGAGAAACAAACCAATGTGCATTTTGAATTTAAATAAAGAAAAACATGTTGTTCTTTAGTTGTTATTCATTAGTTGGAGAAAAAACCAATATGTGTTTTGAAGAAAAAACATGTTGTTCTTTGCAAATCAGTTGTTCTTTGTGGGTTAGAGAAAAAAATCAATTTTGTTCTAAATTTAAACAAAGAAAATTAATGCCATTCTTTAGTTGTTCTTTGTGAGTTAGAGAAAACGCAATGTTGTTTCGAATTTAATAAAGAAAAAACATGTTGTTTTTTATGAATCAATGATTTCAGAGAAACATATAATACAATTGTACATGGGGGGTTCAAAAAGTTTTGACACTGCAATTATCTTCAAACATTAATATCATTGAAGACCTTATAAATGACTACCCCTATATTACAATTGATAATATTCAACAAGTGGTTCCCATTTCAACTGGAAGCATTGAAACCATCTTACATGAAGAAATTTCTGTCAGGAAGATGTGTGCAAAATGGGTTCCTCACACTCTTACTAATGAAAACAAGCAAAAACGAGTTGAGGTTTCAAAGCAATTGTTGGGGTACCTTGAAAATGGGTTTCGAAATATTATTACTGGAGATGAAACATGGCTTCATTTTTTTACAGTCTCATCTAAAGATGCCAACAAGGTTTGGCTA